TTTACACGTACATGTATGCACTTTTCAGTCTATAGTTTCGTTTGGTGGATTTCGTAACCTTGCTTTCATATTTTTTGCATTTCACATATATATTTGGTCAGTCATAAATTCGTGAGCATTTTTTGGTAAATTTTTAAATAATATAAAAAAACACAATAACACAATTTAGCATTTTAATCAATTATATATTTTCCTCCATTATCTACAATGTCTCGTCATCTTACATGCAGCTTTTTTATGGCATTGCTGTAGAAAGACTCTGGTTTTGATGCAAAAAGAACTTGAAAGTTCATTGTGTACATCCTGTTTAGAATTTAGTTTTTTCCCCAGTAAAAAATTTTATAAGGCACGAAATAAGTGAAAATCACTTGGGGCAATATTTGGGGAGTACGCAGGATGTGGCAAAAGCTCCCAATTAAATTCACTAATTTTTTGCAGCGTTGTTCGAGCTGTATGCGGTCTAGCGTTATCACGAAGAAACAAAACTTTCTTCATATTCACTAATCGTGGGCGTTTTTTGATCAGTGCTGAGTTTAGATGGCAAAGTAAAGTTGTTCCCTATAAACTTCTGAATTAATCATTTGATTTGGTTCTAACAGTTCAAAACGTCCTGAACGGGGTTCTTTATCAATGCTGCTTTTTCCAACTTTAAATTTTTTAAACCATTTCTGGGCAGTCCTTAAACTAATAGTGTGTTCACCATGTACACTATTAATTTTTATCGCTGCAAACCTGGCAGATTCACCACACGAAAATAAAAAATGTAGCACAGAACGTTTGTACTTATTATCTATATTCATCTTCTATAGGTACTAAAATACGTTCGATATTTACGAAAGTTGGTGATAAACTAAATAATATGTTAATCAAACAATGACAAGTTTCAACAAGTTCAAAATTGTATTGTTTTAGTAAATGCGTCATAGTGAATTCCACGCATACTCTTAATGCGCACGAACTTATGGACTGACCCAATAATTTGTTGACTGAAATGTGTTAAACTGGTTTTTATAGTTCATTGTTAAATGTTAGCTACACAGTTTCTTTATGCTACATAAATAATCAACTCCTTCAATGAAGAAACATTCAATTTAAAATAGGAAGCAGTACAAATTGATTTAATTCTGCTCACCGTCCTTTGCATTCTAACGAGCGAAAAACGTTATATAATTTATGATGCAGGAACTCAAATGGCGAACCTGAAAAATATAAAGCAAAACATTAGTGCCTGATGCAAAGTATGCGCTGTTCTTAATCAGATACTTCCATTCATTAACACGTTGATTGCCACGAGAGTGTGTAAGAAAATGTCCTTTAGGCCACGAGAGCTGATATACCAAGCGTCACTTGTTTCCGATCGTAGGAGTTTAGAACGTCTAGAACAAAACATTTTGAGACATGCATTCAGTTTAAAATTTCTCAAGAACTATGTATCTAAGAAAGGGTGTGAGATTCGAAAATTATTTCTTCTTTTCCAAACATCATTTCTCTGGTAACAAACGGTTGAAATTTTCTTGTGTTAAAATTGTTGCCCATGTTTTTTGCACTGTCTAAAAGAAAAATGAAAGAGTAATTTTAAAGTGAATCATATAACAGTAATGAAGAGACCTGTTGCGAGTTTTACAAAAATTCGAATATTAGCAATGAGGAACTTTCGAGATTTTAACATTCGAACAGAAAAGTTCTGTTCGAACAACCACAATTGTATCTTCAGATTCTAATTCGAATGCTGATAAATGCAGTGATAATAAATGTTGTGTAAATACTATTGCTCATATTTTACAAGAATTGGTTGTTTAGTTGGTACTGAAGAAAGCTTAGCGAACGGAATGAATTTAGCTCTCGGCAATAATCCTTTTTATTTATTTCTATCAACAATCATATTTTCAAATACCTACTTTACCTCGTAAGTACTCAGAGAACTGTCATCCGAATACGGATGACGCAGCCTGATCAGAATTTTTACAATTACCCGAATACGGGTGACGAGGCAGTCAAAGTGTTAAAATGTTAAAATTTAAAAAAAAATTTAAAGTGTTTGTTAAAGTGCTAAAATGTTAAAATCTTCGTGTAAAAATTGTAGAAATATTTTTGATTGTTTAACTGGTTACAGCAAAGCAAGTGATTGCTATTTTAGGAACATTTAAACATAGAAAGGGATGACCAGAAGAAAATTTAAACCTAGAAAAGCATTTATTTAAAAGGGTTAAATATAGAATGTCAATAAAATCCGATTAAATTCATTGATGTATTCATTCAGTCCATTTTGCTAATATTAACGAAACTACTTAACTTAATTCGTTTAATATATTCAAACAGTGAAGTAAAGTTATGATAATCACAAGTAAAGTTATGATGAGCTATGATGCCTAACAGAATAGCTTTCATATCTTCAGACCTAAGTACACACCTTTATAGTGATATCGTTTGTCCTTCGCAGTGTCCCTCAGAACTAAGCAACAAATCACAGTATTTTCATGGCTGGGTGATGTACGGCTGACTTTAAGTTTACTACTTGTTTCTTTTCCAATGACAGCAAACATATTGTCTTTTTTTGCTTACAAAATGTACTTACCTCTCGTTGAAGAAACTTCTAGGAAACTAAAATAGCAGTGCCTCTAAATCATATGTAATGTCCCTAATTTTAGCATTTTATTTTGGTGTCAAGAACATCTTCAGCAAGACAAACCCGATTGTTTCAATACAATATACACATCACGATAATCTGCAAATCTCTTGCCAATAAAAAGGACATAAAATATTTAAATATTTTGAGAATTATAATAGCAAATTTCTTTTCATTAAAATAATGCGAGCCGTTTAAAAAAAATTCTCAGCAGTGTTCTAATAATTTTCCGAACTAAGAAGTTAGAAGTTATTAACAAAATATTTGTTGTTTGAAGAGCAGCTTTCATGCACAGATTTTTAAAAATGTTTGGATTGTCAATTGTGGTTATTCTTCTTGTGATTATCGAAAATACGGCACTGGATCATCATCATTGTATAGAATCGATAGCTTTTCTATCGGCACTCGATCGATAGGACTAATCAAAAACTGGTTATGATGCTCTGACGGTATTTATCCTAAGACAGCCCTATCCAGATACCCTAAAAATGTTAATTAAATTAAATTATTTCCTTCTTAATTATTCTTTCCCTTTTATTATCAAATTTTTTCGCCACTTATAAGCCTTATCTAAGTTACGGTAACTATTGTGTACCAATGTCGACCTTGTGCCAGAATCGATCTTACGTTATATCAATCATACGTGGCGTTCATCCTATGGAACTGATCATATGCCGAATCAGTTTTATGTATCCGTAGTCGATCTTATTCCGAGTCAATCTATGCCTGTATCAATCCTACACAGTGACGATTCTAAGCACTGTTATCTTATGCCTTAGTGCCAATCTTATGCCTTAGTAGATGCCATGTCATATCGAATGTACGCCGCTTATGCACCTTCGATCTTATGCCCATGTTGACTGCATACAAGTGCGTCAATTACCTCAGTATTGCATCACAACCAGCATTTCATTTTTATAGTGTCGGCAGTATGCTAGCAATTGTTACTATTTGATCCTGCTGCTGCACGATTCCATGTTATGTTGATTTTGCGCAGTATCAATTCCGCATAATAGCTATTGTATGCATCGCATATCCTATGAATTACCCGGATAGCTAAGCGTATATAACGCAAACCAACTTCATGAACAATTATGCGTGTGGGCGAAAGTGCTAGTCGTTGACATCAAGCTTTGCATACCTATTTGCAGAATTACTTTACACAGCTCCATTTCGGAGCTAATAGACAGTTCTGTGCCAAGATATTTTTTTCACCTGAGGCAAAAAGGTAAATGCGCGCCGCTATACATATATATATATATATATCAAAGTAGCTATATTTGTATTAAAAAAAAAAATGTATTAAATCAAAATATCATAATTATCATTAATTTTAAGTAATTTTTTATCCTCTTTTTATGAATTCAGAGAAATAATATAATTATTTATAACTTTCAAGTGAAAATGTTAAAAATTATTTTTGGATAAATAAAAAATAACATCGAAATTCACATTGCATTAAGTTCGAGGTTTTCTTGCAATTTTTTCCTATTGTTTCATTAATTTAAATTTGCCGAAGCTTATTTTCTCCAATAATTAATGGCAAATTTAAAAAACATAATTAAAGTAATTTTCGAATTCGTATAGCCAATTTGGCACCCCTTCTAGTGATTCACCTGAGGCAAGTGCCTCACTTGGCTCACCCTTATCCCGGCTCTGGTAATAGAGAGTAGCTCAGAAAACGGAAGAGAGGGACCCTTGTCCTTTTGCATCTACCAACCGCCTCTCGAACAAACTTTTCGCTCGACCGATTTTAAGTATTTCTATGTCACAAAGGAAGTAACATTTACAAATACCCATGTATTTTTCGTTTCAGCATTGTTTCTTTTTCTATCGCAGTGTAACTGCGCTAAAACTGTGGAGATGCCGAAAGTATAAAGGTAATCGGATTTTGTCCCTATACTAGAAGTAGTCAGGTTAAAATTTCTAAAACTTTAGCATAAGCTTCCTGAGGCTTATCTGAAAATTTTAATCCTGGTACATCAAAAGCAGAAGTTTAAACGCCAGATTAGCCTTTTTTTTTAATTAATCCTTCAACTACGAAGCTATGTTAAACAAAAATTTCCGAAAAATAATTTTGTATAACTCCCTGATATATTTTATTATAACTTTGATATTAAATTTTTATTTTTTTATTCTTGACATAGCAGAAAGATTTGTCATTATTTTGCGGCTGATTATTGCCGTATTTTTCATTCCTGCGGTGTATTTTCTGAAGTTAAATTGTAAGCAATTATTTTGCAATAGGATTATTTTTAGGATAAACTGTTTTTTTTTTTTTTTTTTTTTTTTTTTCATTTTTAGCTCAGTTGGATATGCATTATTTTTAACAAAGATGCCTTCCTAAAATTTAAAAATTTTCTTTTATTTTCAGGTGGTTATCTTTTCTCTCCTCTGCCTATTATCTGTCGTCTTGGCCCAGCCACTCCTTTGGTATACGGCACCATCTTATGGATATGCCTATCAGTATACTTACCCAGCCTATTCTCCATACACATCAGCATACGTACTACCAGCATGGTACTTCAAACGATAAGGATAGGATTTAGTCTAAAGAATGACGGTTTGTATCGATTTATGCGCATTACTTTAAAATTATCGATTCCCTTTGCAATAATATTATTAACGTGCATATATTATTCTCATATTCTAATTATGTTCATTATACTATTATACTGGAAACTATAATACTATCATATTGTAGTTCCCAGTATTAACTTCTTTATAACAATGGGCTGATTTATAAAAATTAGTGTCTTCGATATCAAATCAAAAGTTAAAACATTTCAACCAGGGTTATTTTAAAATAACAACTTTTTGACAGCTGCATCTAAACTCGATCAGAATTGACTGCATAGCCTTATATGAACCAGCTATGAAACCTATATTGCAATAAACATTTTGAAAGTTCGTGCATTATATTCATTTATGAACTGAAAAGAAGGTCTATGAATCATTGTCCATTTAAGAACTGTTTTCTAATTAAGCGCATTATTTCAAAGTATTCATTTAACTGTTTTACCTTCCTAGCAATACCCTTTCACGAAGGTGCCGGAACCTTTATGCAAGTCAGCAGCTGTTTTCAAGAATTGGCATGGCATAAAGTTGAACAAGTCTTCGTATTTATGAACTTGAACAAAGCAACATTAATAAGGGTTCGGGTACCATTAATACAGTGTCACCGTTATTAGGAATATGATTTTATTTGCTTTTTTAATCAAGACAGGAAACTATAATCTTAACGCTTCCACACAAAAGTGCCCATACAATTATGAAGTTTGTTTTCTGAAAGTTAAAAACTGTTTTTCATAAGAGTGCGGGCATCTTTATGAAAGTGTCAGCAATAGCCGATTTGAATAAAGGTACCAGCACTTTTATAACGGCACCATTATGAAGCAGTCGCGTTTAGCTAACATCAATCCTAGGCCCCATAAGACCATTTGTTTCCATTCAATCCCATACAAATAGCCAAAAAATCTTAAAAAAATAATGTGTACTCTTGGTTAGGAAGTTCAGGATAATTCCCAAGATGTTTTGTGCTCATAAAAATATTAACCAATAGAGAGAGTCGTACCCGCGAACCTGCTAATCTAACTCAAAACAAATGCGACCAAAGATAGCTATGTCCATTTGAAAAGGTATAAACAGGTTGCAAAATAGGTCTCAAACGATTTTACTGTTTCACGAAGTGAAAGCTACTTTTTTGTTTGTCCATTTTTTGTACCCAAATATTTCAAATTTTTACAGTATCCTCTCAATAGCAGAATAAGTATATTTGTTAAATTAGTTTCATCATTTGGTTGATTCATTTTGATTTTTGCCTTCTCATTTTCAAAAAGAATCCATAACTTAAGATTCCATCATACTTCGGGAATCAACTAATTATCAAAATAGAACTCCCTAATTAGCAAAATAGAATCTTTTGTTAAAAATGGCCAGTTTACGACAGTTAAAAACCTCATCATGCATCTTATAAAGGGTGCACCTGATGTTACTTGGAATATAAAAGTTTAGACTTAGTGATTTCGATCTATAATTAGCATATCTTCGTGAGGTTATTCAGATAAGTATGATATTCGAAAAGAACATAGATAAAATATAATACCAAAACAATTTACAGAAAAGATAAAGTAGGTGTTAAGTTTACGCTTATGGTATCCTTAGATTGCCAATAGATAACGGTAGTGTTTGTAAAAAGAAACTGATGTCATAATTATGTAAATATTGTGTGGAATAACGGTCCTCTGTTTATTACTTTACATTTGATCCAGTCTGATTTATTAGAGATTTACATGTATTTTGTTTAGTAGGTGGGTTATATTTATTAGAGATTTACATGTATTTTGTTTAGTAGGTGTGTTATATTTATTAGAGATTTACATGTATTTTGTTTAGTAGGTGGGTTATATTTATTAGAGATTTACATGTATTTTGTTTAGTAGGTGGGTTATATTTATTAGAGATTTACATGTATTTTGTTTAGTAGGTGGGTTATATTTATTAGAGATTTACATGTATTTTGTTTAGTAGGTGGGTTATATTTATTAGAGATTTACATGTATTTTGTTTCTGTGTTTGTTTAGTAGGTGGGTTATACGTTATCAACATTTAAAAACTTGACAATATGGAAATTACAAATGACGCTCACGCAGAACTGTACTTTTTGCCGCCTAGTTTTTATTCTTGTATTAAATAAATATTTCAAATATTTTTTTAATATTACGTATTGCTTCCTCTTTTTGTTGATAAAAAATAATATCATTTATCAAAAATTCTTGCAAGGATGAAAATATGAATTCTGATGATACTATAACTAGGAAAAACACCGTGACATTAAATGCAAATTTTCAAATTCGGCATCCAATTAATTCACTAGCAGACAAAATTATTAAACCTCTAAATATGAATGCTAGGAGACACTCCGAAAAAAAAGAAAAGAAAAGAAAAGAAGGAATTCTTATTTCTTAAACATTGATCCTGGACTTCCAGATAAAGTTAATTATAAGTTTCTTGAAAATAAGGTTCAGAACGTTATTTGAACAGTTTACATATTATGGAAAGGAAGGATTGAGTTATTTTTTTTCTCGTGTTGCACAGTTTCCATAAGGTGAAAATTTCACTTACATATGTAAGTCACTTCTCTCAAGTTAAAAATTACTTCATCTTTATTATATGTTAATCAGTCATAGCAAAAATATCCATACTTACACGGACAAAATTCGTAAAGATATTTATGAAGGAATTTAATTTAAACTTGTGTAATTTTTCTATACTTGCTACAGATTGAACAATCATTTAAAAAACAGTTCAACAAATTAATTAATATTAATTCAAGCGTTTAAAATTAATTCAACATTAATTCAATAAATTTAAATTCATCAACTCAACAGATTCAACTATTCTTTCCGTAACAATTGTTGATTTAAATTCAACTTATTTTTCTGTGTTTGTTACAGATTTAAATTCAATACTTTGGGGAATAAATTTAGGGAAAAAAAGAGCTGGTGGTTTTGGCAGTCATTTAATTCTATCGTAGGTAACACAATATTAACTATTAAATTTATATGTTATTACTTTACAGTTATTCAAAATGTTTATCAATCATATAGTATAAGTCAGGTCTGCGAGTTAAGGTATAGATTGCTTTTAGTTAACAAGTTCATGAATATATTACAAACCTGGGATTTTTATACTGAGGCAGACAGAATTTTCTGCTTCATTTCTTCCTAAAAAAATCTTCCAACAGCACTTTAAACTTACTTTGCTCTTAGTAGGTCTCATTTTCTTCATGACAATAAATCTATGTTTTGAGAGAATATTCTTTTGAAATTAATGTCATCAAATATTGACGTTAATATCACAGACCTGCAGTTTCTTAATTGGTCTTCACTGAATCTTATTTGAGTTTTAATTCTGCTATAGTATTAACAAATGAAGTGAGATTTCTGAATGAAGTTACCGTTAAAATATAACGACCGATGACGAACTTCAAAACTTAGTGATGATTCGAAACAATTACTGATGTAAGCTAAGTGTCATCTTCGCAATCATTCAAGCAATTTATCTGTAATATTCTTGAAGAGGATTTACTTTCTTTTTTGCAATTTTGAATTAATATCATTTCGTTATAAATACCGAAATATGATCGATCGTTTTTGAAATACTTTGTTATCTCGATAAAATGGAATGCAGGGGAATCTTGCAAAGGGCAGATCACCATTAGATCATTCTTCTATGTACATATTATATATACCTATATAGGTAAGGGTTTCTAAATTACTTTGGATGTGTACGCTTTATTACATTGGCTATGTACTTGAAATTAATCATTTTGTTTCCTACAGTGGATTTGCTTTTTAAATTCCTCAAAATTCTTTTACTACTAAATTTCTCATTTAAACATTTCACAACTTTTGTTTTGTGTTATTCTTTACCCATGCCTATATGGATGACGAAACCGGAATTGAGTAATTGAAGAGTTTGAAGGCAAACTTCCCCTTGAAAATCTCTGTCTCCTGCCTCCTCAACAATTCACTTTATGCAAATTAATTTAGTTTAAAGAAAAATATTTTTAAGATATTTCTCTTTAAACTAATTAATTTGCTAATATAAGTTTTTAAGATAAATGTTTTGGATTATTATACATTTTTTCACGCATTTAGATGCGTGCACTTAACTTACTTATGCTTTCTGAATTTGAGAGATATTGTAAATTAGTTCGCAGCAATAATTAATCATTTTATTTTGTTTACAAATGAATTTTCATAATTTAAAATTTTTATTAGCTTTATATGAATGAGATAATGATTTTGTATTTGTTATATTCAAATTTCATTTATTGCAGCATTGGTGCAAGAGAATTATTCAATTTTTTTAACTTTACTAATTAGTTTCTTATGAAACAATATATATATATATACATATTGCTGAAAGATTATTATAATGGGACCGCTTCATAAACCTATTCTTCATAAAAGTACCGGAACCTTTATGAATGTCGATTAATATTTCAAAAGACAGAAACGTTAAAACAGAATCTTTTAAAACGTTTAAAACTCCTAGAAGAAAAACATTTAAAGAAATCGGCTTTCATAAACATGCGCACACTTTTGTCCAAAGCCATCATATGCAACTACGGTTCTGTTTTACTACTTTAGTCAGCAAAACAAATGAAAATTCTTCTTCCATAATGGTGCCACACAGTAAACGTGCCGGCAACTTTATGAAATCTGCTTTTTATAAATTGGAATACTGTTCTCTATAAAGATGCAGGAACTTTATGCCAGAAGAGTCCCGTGAAAGTTTAGAATTTTTCCAAACGTAGGTCTGCTTTTGGAAAAGTTCCAGCATCTTTATGACGAGACCGCTGTAAAGGGAGTCCTGCTGCAATAAGTCTACAGAACATCAACATTATCTGAAAGGTAATGTTGAGGAACTATTTATTTTTATCTCGCTTCTGTGCGTTAAAACTGAGCATACAAGAAAATCTTAATGCATAATTGTCAACATTGCGATTCTCAGGTTCTAGACTTGCCTTTTATTATAGTACAAAAGGAGAACATGACATGTATTCTTGAACTGTACTTATCTTTCTCAGCAGCAGTTTTTCAAGATTAATTAAACAAGAAACATATTCCTAAAAGCCTTTTATTTTCTTCTCGTAATAAGTGTCTAAGGAAAACTATAACTGAAGTGAATTTTTGTCACTTTGGAGGAAATATTGTAGAGAATATAAGTTTTGTAGGTGGCGGTTTTAGGGGTTTCAAAAAATGAACGTTGAAATGTAAAATGAGACATTATGTATTTTAAAGTTCTGATATACCTAATCTAAGCTATATTAGAAAACGTAATCTTTTCTAGATTAATGTAATTAATGAGTTTATTTCAAGTACTTCGCATGTATATTTTTGCATAATTAAGAGAAATTTATTAAATATAGCTTTATTTTCCATTTCAGAATAATTCTGGACTATCGAGTTCTTCAAGTCTGCTACCTGATGTGATTTTTAACTCCTTTTTCAGCAACGCTCCCATGTGATGTAACCTCATTGCTCTGTCCTCTGCAAAGTTTGTAGCTACTCTGCATCTCAGCAAAGCTCCAGTTCCTTGATTGCTTTCCATCTGTTTAAATGTTCAGTACATTGTAAAGAAAACTCAAAGCTTGTGGGATAAAATAAAAGTTTATGTGACATGAATTGTTGCTTTTTTTATTATTTAGATAACCTACAAAAGAAATTGCTAGATTTATATATTGCTTATTCACGATTATGGAAACATGAAGTGTCTTACAAGTATTATACTGTCCAGGGGAAATATGAACATTGCCCAAAAGATATATGCTCAAAATTATTTCAGTGCCTTAAAATACGTTATAGACCAACATTTATCTAATATCTTTCACTATCTATTATACATGATTCCGTTATAATACAGGAAAATTCAGGCTGAGGTGTGTCCAAAAAACTGTAGTTTTTTGCCGAAGTGCGGGAACTATCGTTATCTGTGGCGCATAGAGCTGTTAGTATCTACAATTTCTCTCCATCTATCAGATGAACACTTGATTTCATACTCATAAAGATTTAAGGCTGCGTTTTCGGAAATGAAAACCTCATTATCTACAACTTGTAAATCATCTTTATATACAACCTGTTACCACTTGCCAAACGGAAGTATGATTTGCTTTGCCCGTAAACGAAGACAAAGATCCAGGCTGGATTTATTTAAAATTTATAGTCCCTTGACGAATTGAGCAAACTGCCATTACCTACGGCATATAGAGAATTATTATTTGTAATTTCTTACCGTCTACTAGGCGGACGTTTGATTCTGTTCTCACAAACGAAGATTCAATGCGGCACTTTTTGGAAATGAAAAATAAAATTATTTTACAACTTATAAACTATTTTTATATAGAACCTGTTACCACTTGCCACGCAGAAATCTGACTCCATCCTCATAACCGAAGATCTAAGCTGGGGTTGGTCCAAACGATTCTACTCCTTTGCTGACAAGAGGGAATTATCATTATCTACAGCATATAGATCATTATTATCATATCTGCAATCTCTTGCCATCTACCAGGCTGATGCTTGATTCCGTTCTCATAAGCAAAGATTCAAGGCAATCCTGTTTTAGAAATAAAAACTTCTTTACCTAGAACTACTCATAAACCATCTTTATATACAACCTGTTACCACTTGCCAGGCTCTTTCCTGGTAAACGAAGATCCAGAATGCGGTTTATCCAAAAAAACTGTAGTTCATTGGCGAAGTGATGATACCGTACTTTTACCAGGCATTTTCTCACCTGTGGATTTAAGTAAACTCTCCTAAGCTAGCTTTATCAAATGCATTAACTTCGAATGAGGAAGTATAAACAGCTTGAATTTTTGCGCGTTTATTCCTTTTGTAGTTGATTTTTGCAGACAGATTGATACTTATATGACTTAGATGATACTTATATGATATGATAAACAATTTAATAGCACTATTTTGTTTTAATTTTTTTATTTAGATAAGATTTGTAATAAAATCAGCATTCTTTAGATTACTTTTATCCCAGTTTTTTTCGGGGGCCGATAGAAAGAGACCCTGTTTAAAGTAGTTTTTTACGACACCACGAGCTAACACACAATACATAAAAACAAAACAAACAATTATAAAAACAAAACATATAAAAAGCTAAAATATGATTTTTAAATGTCATTAAATGGAAAATAGTATATTATTACTCTGTTTCACAAAGTAATCTATATAATTCGTTTCAGAAATTTATTATAGTGAAAGAAATCAGAGAATAGCAGGCCTCCAAACAGTCTTTGCCTTAGGGCTGCAATTTGTAGATCAGACCCCAGTTCTTACAAACTGAACATACTCAAAAAATTTAAAAACGAGATATCGTCCTTGATGACACGAAGAGATTTCAAAGGAATTCTCCCTTCAACAGATCATGATTTCAATAATAAAACTTATTATTATTATACTGCGAGCAAGAAGATAAAACGCTTCATGCATGAACGCTCGTCTGACAGTGAATATGGATGCAAAGATTCCAAGGGAATTCATTGAAAGAGGATGCCGTCGTGTTATTGTTTTGAGGAAAGTGTTACTTAGATTCCATTTGAAATGGAAATAAATTTAGCAATAACTCTTTACCTTCCCCTCTCTTTCATTATTTAGAATACATATATTCAGTCATTATCACCATACATTGCATTTTATAAGAATACAATCATTTAAGAGGGAAAATCGACAAGGCCGTTTAAATTACAACTTATGTAAAATTAAAGACCTTGATCACGGAAAACACATAAAGGATTTAATTTACTAAAAGAATTTGTTTTGTTTATCGTTCGTTACTATGAAAACAAAATCATAAAACGAAAGACAAAATATAAAACAAGTGATTTTAAAGTGCACACGAATTCTGCAAAAAGATAGGTTATTTCAGCATGGGAAAGCACACGAGGAATATCTGCCTGAAGAAATCCTTCGCGGGGGGGGGGAAGGAATTTCTAAGAAGAACTCGCTCGCATTCATATTACACATATGGAAAACCGTTAAAACTATGAAGCCTGGGTTCGAATCCAGTCGAAGTATCAGCACTCAGTGGTTTTAACCACTCGGCCACTAGTGGGGCTACGCCTGTGAATGTGTGCGTGTGTGTGTTGTTGTTGTTTTGCGCTTGTAATTTCTTTGATGAATGGTTGCCAGAGCCTGAAGGAGGTTGGACTGAAGACGCTGGTCTAAGGGTCTTCCACTCCTCTCCCCTACCATCAAACCACACGAGAAGACCTTCGGCTCGCCATATATTTACAGTAACCCTCATGCTTCAAAGACATTATACATTTACAAATATCCATGCCTTCTCCGGGATTCGAAACCTGGCCCTTTGGTACCGCAGTAGGTTCCCTAACCACTATATCTTTTGGGCGTCGTGTGTGTGTTTGGTTTATATGTAAGCATGTAAACCATGTACTGATAACTAAACCCATTTTATTATTTAAGTTAAAAATCAAGCTATAAAATCAATTAATGAAATTAATTTGTACTTCATTTAATAAAATACTAAACTGTATTATTTTTTCATATTAGTAAAAGTTCAGCACAGCATTTTAAAAATATATTCAATTCTATTTGGCCAGAGAGGTGAACAAAACATCCAGGTATTACAGTTCCCGACATATTAAGGTCCTGATAATTCGGGATTCTACAGTTAGCATAATAGAGTTCCAAATATGTAGAATTTGGGTAACAGAATTTCACGCATATAAAATTGTATAATGGAAACCTGGGTAATGAAAAAATTAATTACCTAGATTCGGGATAAAACAGTTCCATTATGTTGTAGTGTTGCGTGGCCCCAACTTGTCAGCAACTATGGTAGTGACTGCTATGAACTGTAAATTACACAAACTCGCAAGAAGGGTTTAAATCCCTTTTTATTCCACTTTAGAAATAACAACTGCGTTCACTTGACGCTCACAAACTACGCCGACCAGGCGGTTTAACAAAAACAGAACTGTGAAACTAAAAATTAATGGCAGGATGAATAAACAACTAGAACACTACCTACGAGGCTCTAAAATCGTAACTAACTTAACCACGTTCTAAAATACAGCTGAGATTCAGCGAGCTTACTGATTAAGCAGTTGAAAGATTCAACGAACTGCCGAGATAGGCACACAGGCCGAAACGCGCGGTTCTTAAATTTCTACCTAGCAACCTTCACGTTAGCGATTCAAGAAGCACACATACAATCTCGTTTCCCTTCTATTTAAACTCAACTTACTTCTGATAAAATTTGAATATACTGCGCGTTCTACTACAATTTACATACTCTGGCATTGGCAATTCTAGGGGAAAGTAAAGACTTGACAGGAAAGATAGCTTAAACTTAAAATAAATATTAGTTAAAATAAATATAAACCCTACATTTGCCGCTGCCAGAATTTGGTAAACTTGGAAGCAGGTCCTAGAAACGACCTGTGGTAAAGTTTCCATATTCTGGCCTAAAACTCAAGAGCTCCGTTTACATAAAACAAACTTTTACCTAAAACAATTACAATCCTTTCTGTAGAAGATTTGGATACAATATCTTCTTACAGGATCCTTTCTTCTGTTAGGTCTTCATCAATCAATCGCTTTCTCTTCCTTCCAGGATCTGGAAGGAATAAGTATCAGTATATTCCAAATACATTATGATTTACACTTTCTTAACACTCGATAATGTTTTCGTTTTCGATCCTTTTCTTTTCCTTAATTAACTGCTTACATTCACATTAATTCAAATATTCAAACATGAATTTAATTTTACCCTGGTTCTCCACCATGTGTGGTGTCAAACGGGAATCTTTGTATTTTAGTATTACAACACTTCCCCTAACCACAAGGATTTGTTAGAATTCAAACGACCAAATATGACAAACCTTAATCCAACCTACTGAAACTCAATGAGCTATGTTTAACATTCTTAAATTCAAGTGTAGGTGGAGAACCCTACAAAACACATTCATTCTAAATTCCCCCTCATTCATCTTTAGACATGCAGGCTTTCGCTCTAAAGCATGATTTTATCTACTGTTTAATACTTAGACTTGAACTCGTTTCTTTGGAGCATTTTACTTTTAGCATCTAAAATTTTATGCTTCTAGACTAAATTTTACTTTTACGTAACTTTCAAGTATTTACCTATATTTACAAAATTCTAATATATATGATTTTTACAATTTACCATAAAATGAATAAGAGAAAATAAAAATTTACTTCACGCTTTCTTCGCCAAGCTGGTGGCACTGAAACTAAATTTTACATTAATACAAGAATACGAAGTTATTTTACTTTCGGCCAAATTTTGGCTTTAACATAACAGAACCAGTCTTTCGACCAACTCGAACTGCTTGCTCTTAGATTTTACACTTAAAGAAAATAATGCTTTTGCCTTAGCTAAATAAGTAAAACAAAACTAAGTCTCAACCGAGACAAATTGACTTCCGTCAAGACATAGAACTTCGTATTTACGCATAACAGTTCATCAAAACAAAGAAAAAATTTATAGAAGATTTTAACTTATCTTTGAGTTTTCGATGCTTGGAACTCCGACATGCTATTCTGGCAAAATTGATCCCAAGTTACAGAGTTCATGGAAGTTAATCTCCGCTTTTGGTTTCTTCGAGTTTCCTCCATGGTGACGTTCC